TGTTTGTCTGCATTATGTGTGGCTTCCCATGGGAGCTGCAAAAAATCAGTAAAAGGACGTAGGAAGATCCGCCAGCAACTACAAATCAGTCGAAATGCGGTTGCGGCAGTAATCAAGAGGTGCAGAAGAGGCCTTATAGTGCCAACAATTAGAGCCACGGCGGTCGTCCTCTTAAAACGATGCTACAATCCAGCCCTGATAAACAGACGGGTAAGTGCTTCAGACTTGGCAAAGAGGTTATCAGTGAAAATCGCAGCTTTTCTGACGGCACGAAGGACGCCGCATAACATCCACCTCCATGGATGGTGTCCAAGAAAAAATCCTTTGCTTGTACTTTGCCACTAAATCGCAAAACCTTGATAGGCAACACAAAGAGAAGCCTGATGAATGCTGGGAGCAGATTCTTTGATCAAATAGGAAGGAAATGTGTCAGATAGGGATGTTTGGTGTGACCACAGTGAACACATGGTCCCAACAGTGAATCATGGAGGTGACAGTGATGACAGGGGGCTGAGAATTCGCATGGCCAAAATCATAACTGAGTTTCTAAAGAAGACACAAAACGACTATTTGTACGGATCAGGCATAGATGATACCTCAGCGCCGAGTTTCTTCTTGGTGTATACACCGCTGGCAGCCGTGAAGGCATCATTGAGCAGGATGAAAGTGTAGGCCTCCACATCGAAGGCCAGGTCAGAGCTAGTGGAGACGGAGAGCTTTGTTTTATACACTTTGCTGAGTAGCTGAGTAGATTAACTGACATTTAAAAAAAGAAAATCCATACCTTGCAGCGACCATGGCACCAAAGACGATCGCCCCAACGCTGCACATCAGGCGTTTGGAAAATGTTTTTCTAAAACAGAAAAAAACCCACAAACTATGTAGATGAAAATACCAAATGAGACCAGCACATAGCAGCGTTTTCTATTTACTAAATCACATCCTGCCCGTCTTTTATCGTACTTCCTTCCCCCCCCTGCACTGGAAGCTCCAATCTTTGTTTAATCACGCTGATAAAATCATTAAAAAATCTCTCCGTGGAAGAGCGCCAGATGGTACAGTCCGTTCACAGTGGTTCTGATAAGGTAGAAAAAGTGCTTCAAAGCTTCTAAAAGCGATTTAAAAGCTTGTCTTACCTCAGTATGTGTGCCTCTAAGATCATGGTCATCACGATGGTGAATTTCCGTAAAACTGTAAACATGGGTAAACTGTGAAAGACAACATGTTGTGGGGAAGATTATGTGA